CTGTGTTCCAAATCCTCACTCTGCTCTATTTATGTTAAATTCAGATCTTGTATTATTAAGGAGGGGAGATGCACTGAAAACAAAGTTGACTGAGACAAATTCCTGGTCATATATGGAATAAGTAAGTTAAAAATAGGTTGATCTCACATTCGCTTCTTTTGGTGTCAAATAATTCCATTTCTACCAGACAACTATGATTCCTGTTTATAGTATGTTGAAGGAATACAGATGTTTATTCTGTAAAAAGAAGTATGGTGATACCTACTGAAAGAGAGTCACAGGGTACCACAAGAGCACAGCACAGAGAAAGATTTGCACTGGCATCCTTCCATCCTTAGACCTTATGTCTAAGGATGTCTAAATTGACTTTATGTCAATTTCAACAAAGGGCAGCAAAGATTTTCCCACACAGGACCAATCCAATATATTTTAAAATATCTCTTTAATGAGAATATATTATTGGGCATTCAGAGAATAGAAAATAAAGCTACCAATAAGCCACTACACTAACCATACCCTACAGTCATTCTCAAGCTTTTACTGTGTAATCATTATGTTGCATACTATGTGTAATGCACTGTGGTAGGTGTCATGGTATCATTTAATAAAAGTAAAACCTGGTCTCTGCACTTCACTCAGCTGAACAATGCTGGGAGACAAAATAGATAAGAAAGGGGAACCCATAGAGTGCCATGGGAATTTGGCCATGGGTCCACATGACCTATTGGGGGCGGGGGCTATCACAAATTCTGGGAAATGCAGAAACGGGGTAAACAGAACCAGGCAGGACACCTGTGTAGAAGGCCCATGGGATAGCAACTAGCCCAGACAAATTTCTCCAGTCATGAAAAGCCCTCAAAAACAGGTTATAAAAGGGATCACCAAATCCTTCCTGCAGACTTCTGTCTCCCCACTGCTTCTCCTAGCAGTATATTTCAATAAATCTACCTTTTCTGTTCTCCACCGTTTCTGGTGAATTCTCTCAAACCCTCACACTGATATTAGCCAGCCACAGAAAGTATCTTCTACACATGATCTTATTTAATCCTCACAATAATCTTATTACATAGATACTATTCTTTCCATTTATAGATAAGGAAATTGAGGTTCAGAGGTCACTCAGCTAGTAAGGAACAATGGGATTCAAAACAAGTCTGGATTCATTAATGTTCTTATAATCACAAAGTTCAATACATTTTTTAACAGTAAATTTTATACACCACCTATCAAACTTTTGACTATTTATTAATAAGTAAAGGTGTTGCAGTATCTTTAAAGAATTTTTTTTTCTTAGGCCTCCCTGGTGGCGCAGAAAGTTGAGCTCCGCACTGTGAAGCTGTTCGCAGCCTCTGCAGCGCGGGTTTGATCCTGGCCGGCCAGCGAGAATCCCACATGGCGGGGCAGACCTCTCCTGTCTTGCCGGCTGCTCCCCTTAGCACTGTGTTTCCTCAGTCTGCCTGTTCCGTTTCCCGCTCTGTCTCTGGTGAATCCTCTCACCCTCTGGTGCATCTGGCCTGTACCCCGGTTCTTGTATAAATAAATAAATCTTAAAAAAAAAAAAAGAAAAAAGAAACAAAACCCAACCTTTAAAAAAATTTTTTTTTTTCCTCTCACCTTCCACCCAACCACCTGTGCCCATACTTCTTTTGCTTTCTTTCCCCATCACCTCTCCACTTTCCTCTGGTAACCATTATATTTTTTGCTGACTTCAAGATTTATTCCTACTATTCTTTGTGTATAAATGTTTTTGGGTATTTGTACAATACATCTGATACACTTCCTAGTGTATTACTTACATTATTTTAAATAATATTCTATAGTATCTTTATGTCATTGTAAGTCATATTTTTCCTAGTTGGAAAAATTTAAATGTGCAAAATAAAAACCCACATTTTCAGCTGGTTACATTTTTTTTTTTTTATTATTATTATTTTTTATTTTATTATTTTTTATTTTATTTTATTTTTTAAATAATAAATTTTATTTTTATATTCCCCCATACAATTGCAAACACCCCATTCTGACCCCAATCCTTCCCCTCCCGCCCCCCATCCCCCAAAAAGTGTCTCTGGTTCATAGTTTTTTGTTGATTTTGATTTTCACTTTCTTATATTCATTTTCCTGGTCCCTTATTTAAGTTTTCTAGATTCCTGCTATGAGTGAGACCATCTGGTATTTTTCTTTTTCATTTTGGCTTATTTTGCTGAGCATGATCCCTTCCAGTGCCATCCATGTTGCTGCAAATTGCATGTGTTTATCTTTTTTGAATGCTGAGTAATATTCCATGGTATATATGTACCACATCTTCTTGATCCAGTCATCTATTTTTGGGCATTTGGGTTGTTTCCAAAGCTTAGCTATTGTAAACAGTGCTGCTATAAACATAGGAGTGCAGGTGCTCTTTGGAATTGATGTTTCTGTGTCCTTTGGGTAAATACCTAGGAGTGGAATTGCTGGATCATATGGAAGCTCTATGTTTAGTAGGTCCAGAAATCTCCACACAGCTCTCCATAGTGGTTGGACCAGTTTGCACTCCCACCAACAGTGCAGAAGAGTTCCTTTTTCTCCACACCCTCGCCAACATTTGTTGTTGCTAGTTTTTTTAATATGTGCCATTCTCACTGGTGTGAGATGGTATCTCATGGTAGTTTTGATTTGCATTTCCCTGATTACAAGTGATGTTGAACATTTTTTCATATGTCTGTTGGCCATTTGCATTTCCTCTTCAGAGAAGTTTCTTTTTAGCTCTTCTGCCCATTTTTTGACTGGATTATTTTCTTTGTTGTTGTTGAGTCTCATCAGCTCTTTGCAGATTTTTGTGATCAGTCCTTTATCATTAGTGTTGGGTGCAAAAATGTTCTCCCAGTTGGTGGGGTTTCTCTTTGTTTTTGTTATTGTCTCTTTTGCTGTGCAGAAGCTCTTTAATTTGATGTAGTCCCAGCTGTTTATCTTTGCCTTCACTATCACTGCTTTGGGTGATGTGTCTGTAAAGATGTCTTTGATGTGCAAATCCCGTAGTGTTTCGCCTATATTTCCTTCTATGTATTTTATGGTTTCAGGTCTTATGTCTAGTTCTTTAATCCATTTTGAGTTGATTTTTGTGTATGGTGTGAGGTAGTGGTCAAGCTTCATTCTTTTGCATGTAGCGACCCAGTTTTCCCAGCACCATTTATTGAACAAACTTTCTTTGCTCCAATGCATAGTCTTTGCTCCTTTGTCAAAGATTAGTTGACCATAAATCTGTGGGTTTATTTCTGGATTTTCTATTTGATTCCATTGGTCTGTATGTCTGTTCTTGTTTCAATACCATGCAGTTTTGATGATTATGGCTTTGTAGTATAGTTTGAAGTCTGGGCGTGTGATGCCTCCATTTCCTTCTTTTTTTTTCAGTAGAGCTTTGGCTATTCGGGGTTTTTGGTGATTCCATATGAATTTCATCAATAATTGTTCTATTTCTTTGAAGAATGCCATTGAGATTTTGATTGGAATAGCATTGAATCTGTATATTGCTTTTGGTAGGATGGCCATTTTAATAATGTTTATTCTTCCAATCCATGAGCAGGGGATGTCTTTCCATTTCTTTGTGTCTTCTTCTATTTCTTTTAACAGTGTTTTATAGTTTTCTTTGTATAGGTCCTTTACCTCTTTTGTTAGATTTATTCCCAAATATTTGATTTTTTTTTTGTTTCGATAATAAAAGGGATGGTTTTTTTGATTTCTTCTTCTTCAGATTTATTGTTTGTGTATAGGAAGGCTACTGACTTTTGCGTGTTGATTTTGTATCCTGCCACTTTACTGAATTGATTGATGAGTTGAATTAGTTTTTCTGTGGAGATTTTGGGGTTCTCTATGTATATTATCATATCATCTGCAAATAGTGATAGTTTGACTTCTTCTTTTCCTATGTGGATTCCTTGGATGTCTTTCTCTTGTCTTATTGCTCTGGCTAGGACTTCCAGTATTATATTGAAAAGCAGTGGTGAGAGTGGACATCCTTGTCTTGTTCCAGATCTTAATGGAATTTCAGCTGGTTACATTTTGGATCATATTCTTAGGATAGGTTTTGAAGTAGCTAGTAAAAAATGAATAAGGCTTCTGATATTGATGAGATCACTCTCCTAAAGGTCTGTATTATTTTGAAATATGGATTCATTATGAGAATAACAATTCAAACTAAACTTTTCTAGCATTTGGGGATTAATGTAAAACTTTGCTTTATTTCATCAGACAATCTCAATTTTAACTTGCCATTTCTTTGAAAATCCTCTGTTCACGTACAGGTTCTTTTCCTTCTTAATTCACCTACAAATCTGGGATCTAAACTGCTACTGCAATATAGAGTTGGAAGAAACCTCAGAAACCTTCCAATTTAATGTCCTCATTTTCCAGATCTGGGGACACAGTCCAAGACATCTAAGTGGTGGGTTAGGGATAACTTCCACAGGTAGTCTGGAGCTGGACTCCTGGAGAGTTTTTCCCCATATTTAACCTTACTTGGTCCAACCTAGTGAGGGGTTGTTAGAAACAACAGTAATACATGACAATCAAGGCTGACCTTTCATTTAAGTGTTCGAGGTGCGTCGACATTTATTTTTGTCCCTAAACCCTTAAATCCTACTTCTCATTAATAAGAAGACCCAGTCGAGGGGCCTCTGCTCTCAGCTCTTCTATTGGCCACATTAACATGAGAAAACCTCCGGCTTGTACGGACCTGCCGTCTTAAAAATAAGTAGGAAGAGACATTTTATAAAAATCTTTCTTAAGATGGGCCGTCAGGCGCCGACACCGACGGCAGCACGGCGCGAACCCGCCCAGCCCACGCGGCGGGCTGGCGCGAGAGGCGGCGTCCAATGCGCAGGCGCGCCGTGTATCCGTGCGGCCGCGCGTCAGCCCCGCGCGCCCCGCCCCCCCAGGCTTCCCTCCCATCTCCCAGCCTCCCCACCCTCCTGGCCCCGCCTCGCCGCGCCGCGCCTCTTCTCCTCCCGGCACTCGCCCCTTGGCTCCGCGGACGAACTGCGTGTTGCTGCGTCATCGCCAGTGGCCGGTTTGAATGAGGCTCTGGTCGCACCCGAGCCGCCACCACCACCGCGCCTCCGCTTCGGTCGCTGCCACAGCTTCTTCGTGTCCCTTCCCCTGGCCACCCTTGCCGGGGCCGTTCTGTCTGCGCCGCCGCTTCCCCTAGGGCCCCGCCATGCCACTCTACTCCGGTGAGCTCCCTCCTCGCCTTGTGCCCAGCTATTCCGCCTGGCGCTAGGCCTCTGAGTAGGCCTGGCCTGAAGGGCGGGTGCCCGACCGGCCACGGGGCGGGGGAGGGTCTGGGGAGGTGTGGACTAGGGTCAGTGGCGTGGAGAGGACCCTCGCCCTTTTTCCTCTCTTCCTGCTAGTTCTGAGCCCTGCTTCGCGAGGGAGAGCCGCCTCTCCCTGGCCGCCGGGTGGGTGGGGAGGTGGGGAAGCTGCGAGCGTCGGCCTCTTGGAGTCATGACTCTGCAGAATAGTTTCTGTCGTCGTCCCAGCCTGCAGGGAAAGGTGAGGGTGTGTCCTGGGCTCTGGGGCCAGGCTGGAGGAGGGATCTCCTGGACCCCATCGGTGGAAGGGACGGGCAGGGGGGGAAACCTGAAGTGAGGGCGGGTGGAGGTACCCGGGATGTAAGGTTAGCCTTTATTACTCTTGGAGTTACATCAATGACTGTATTCACTTTTCGCTTTCCCCTTGTTTTTGGCTTAACCGCCCCTTTGGTACCTGTTTCAGTTTTCTCCCGAGGCAGATTGCCAATTTATCTTCATTTTTTTTTCCATCAAACATTGTATTGCGCTTTTATGTCCGAAGCGTACTGTTAACTTGGACAGGTAGCTGAGTACTAATATCCGCAGGCGTCATTTCCTTTTGATTGGTGTGTGACAGGTTTTTTATTTTTCGTAATTATATGGTGGCACTTTAAGGTATTGCCAGGGATCACGTTTTCACTGCGTTAATAGACCCTGCTGTTTCCTAGTCATATTCAAAATGGCACCTAAAATGTACGTGTTGGCTCCAGTTGGCTATGGATGTGCGATTCGTTCACAATTCCTGACTCTGTACTCTCTCATATTCCTTTAAATAAGAGTCATCATTAAAGAAAAAGTCAAAAGAGTAATGTTTAATCAGTCTCCTGGTGGATTCTTGATGTTTTAGAAAATTTAATCCAATTCTTTAATAGTGATTCCTTAACCTCTCTAAAGTCACAGCAATTAACAATAGAATGGAGCTTGAGATATTCTGTTTATACATTATAGAGTTAAGGGAACACTACTGGTGAAAAGTAAGTGTACGCTAATACTTAAATCGCTCACCTCACACGCAAGCAAGACCAACCCCTTGAAAAAAATGCCTGTATTCACCAAACTTTCTATCTTAAAAATGAGTTACATCTTAAATATTGAGTCAGATCTTTTGCTCATTTCCAGCATGAGGGAATGAAGATTTCAAAGGTCTCTTTCCTTGACATCATATTGTGAATCTGTATTTTCATGTTTTGCAAAAATGCTGCTGTTAAAATGAGGACATTTAATACACTGTTTCTAGTAGAAAAGCACTGTTTTCAGTAGAAAGTTAAATATCCAGATTCTGACCTGGATTTTTGTTAAGTGCCATAAAAATTAATGAACACCTGTGTGGCTGTCACATAGCTAGTGTTTTTATACATGTTGGTTTATTTTAATCTTCAATGTAATCATATGGTATTAGTATAATTTTCTTTTATAGGTAAGTTTAAGTTATTTATGGTTTTACATTAAATAAATCATATATTTTCTCCATCATTTCTAATACTATTTTGGTTTCATTCTGTTTCATTCTTGCTTGTACTCATGTTTGTAGTTTTCCTGATTAAAATTATGCCCTCTTCAAACCCATTTTCCTTGCTGCAGCTCTGATGTTCAGGCCAAAATGTCCTTTAATGAAAACATTTCAGGGGTTGCACATTTCTTACAACAGAAAGCCTGTGTGTTTTAGAATGACTGTGTTACCTTCCTTGACTTAACCCTTGTTCGGTTTCCAGTTTTAGCTATTTCTTTTCTCTAGGTTTACCTGCATATCAGCACCATGTTACTTTAGGCTTTTGAATTTTTTTCTTGTCTATTCCAGGAATGCTTTTAATTCTCTTTTATTCTCTGGCTAACACCGAATTTCTCAAAGTTGATAACGGAAACAAAAAGTTATTGCTTCCTTCAGGGAACACTTTCTTACTCATCAAGCATTCCTCTGTTCCTGTATACTTATATTTATTTTGTATTGCTAATTATTTTAACCTTTTTCCCTTGTCTCTTTTATTAGACTATAAGTTCATAGAGAATCACCTGCTAGACTATTGTGTCTGGTCTTATCATTGAAGTAGGGCTAAACATAGTAACTGAACTGGTGAAAGGGTTGGGATATGGACTCAGGGTCAGCTTTTCAAATTCTGATTGTAGTGGTGGAAAATCAGACAATTCTTAGTTGTGAGTTTCTCATTTTTGAGTAGGTATAAAGATTTCCGAGTAAACAAGCAGTATGTATCATATACATACATCCTTGAGTTTGTTTTACATATTTCAAAAGTAAGCTATATAGGGGTTGACTCATTCTTCAGAACTTTTTCATGTTCCTAAACTAAAACGCTATACCCATTTAACAGTAATTCTTCATTTTTCCTTCCTAACATGCTCCTGGCAACTTCTATTTTATTGTCTCTCTGAATTTGTCTGCTCTAGGTACCGCATATAATATCTGTCCTTTTGTATATGACTTATTTCACTGAGCATAATGTTTCCAAGCATCCTCCATATTGTAGCATGTGTAAGAATTTCATTAATTTTTAAGACTGAATAGTATCTATTACAGGTATAATACCACATTTGTTCATTTATCTTTTGGTGGATCATTGCTTGTCCCCATCTTTAGGCTGTTGTAAATAATGCTCCAATGTGTATGGATATACAAATCTATTTTTGAACATCTGCTTTCCATACTTTTGGGTATATAACTAGAAGTGGAACTGCTGGATCATTTGGTAGTTCTATGTTAATTTTTTCAGTGATTCCCATGTAGTTTTCCTCAGTGGCTACACCATTTTCTCAGCATCAGTGAACAAAGGTTCCAATTTTTCCATAACCTCAACACTTGTTATTTTCTGTTTAAAAATTTTATTTTGTAATTACCACCTAAATTGTTATGAGGTAGGGTTATATGTTTTTTAATGATCTTTGTAGTCTTTTTAATATTTGACCACTTGTTGCTGAGGAACCAAGACTTTCAGTTCTTCCATATCTTTCTCTTACGAGACAGTATTGTTTAACCTGTTTTAAAGGTGCCTTACTATCCCAAGACATTTTTCTTCCCTCAAACTATCTTTCTAACTTTTCTTTCTCCTCTCTATTTTTAGTCTTTATAAAACATTTTGAAATCTGAAACTTACCCTAGGAAATATTTCAGTATGATATTTTGCAGAGATTATTGGAGTAGAATTCCGAACAGTAATACTTATCCATTAGTTTTGTAATATTAGTAAATCAATCAACTTAAGTGTCAGTCTTATTTAGCAAAGGAGAGCTTGGATTAGATACAGTAAGATTTTATTCAAGGCTTACTGGGCCCACTGTGTTCAAGTCACTCCTGATTTGGAAAGCATTATAAGCATAGAAAGATGAGTGACAGTTCAGTTTTTAAGAAGTAACCTAATAGGTCTCCTAAAGATTTTCTAAATCTAAAGTTTTGTCATTTTATAAATGAGAAAAAATAAGTTGTGCTTTTGTTTGCAGTTACTGTGAAATGGGGAAAGGAGAAATTTGAAGGTGTAGAATTGAATACCGATGAGCCTCCAATGGTGTTCAAAGCTCAACTCTTTGCACTGACTGGAGTCCAGCCGGCCAGACAGAAAGTTATGGTGAAAGGAGGAACATTGAAGGTAAAATATTCCCCACGTTTTCATTATTTGCTGTTTTTATAGGATAGGTCAAAATAACACCAGAAAATGTAGCATTTGAGGTATTTTTTTTTTTAATTTGTTGAGAGTATATAGAATCTGGGATTAAAACTGTGTTATTCATGTTAGTGAGAGGAAAGAATGTTGTAGCCACTTCAGAGCACTATGTTATAAATAAACATTTTAATTTTAAAATCCATTATACCAGTGAATACCTATAGGTATAAGAGGCCTGGGGCCCTCCACATACCTATATTGCTTGAATCTTTTTTCCTATAAAGGTGTATTGTATTTTATTTTGTGTAGGTATTTGTATTTCCTTAGTAATTTTCTTTTATAGTGATGGGAAATTTAACTGTTAAAAATGTGGAATAGTATGGTAGTTGTTTGCTTTTTTTTTAAAGGACTTTGACAGAATGTATTTTTGTACATACAGTTAAATATTAGAATTTAAAGTACTTCAACATCTTTACCAAAGCTCTGGTAGTGGAATGTTGGAAAACTGAATTTTTTTCCTTTGGCCTTTTGCATCCTACCCGTTAAAAAAGAGCCATTATCTTTTAAAAATAATAGCTATCTAATACCTATCTGAACATAGGAAGAAGAGAGAACATAGGAGGGAGAGAATTTAAGTATATCTTTTTTTTAAAGATTTATTTATTTGGGCCTCCCTGGTGGCGCAGGCGGTTGAGCGCAGCGCTGTGCAGGCCAGGTTTCCATCCCCGCCAGCCATGGAGATGCCCACTGGGTGGGGCAGCCCTCTCCTGTCTCTCCCGCTGCTCCCCTCAGCAGTGTATTTTGTCAGTCTGCCTGTTCTGTTTCCTGCTCTGTCTCTGGTGAATCCTCTCACCCTCCCGCACATCTGGCCTGTATCCCAGTTCTTGTATAAATAAATAAATCTGGAATATATTTATTTATGCATATTTATTTATGCATACAAGAACTGGGGTAGAGGCCAAAGGTGGGGGAGGTGAGAGGATCCACCATAGACAGAGTGGGGAACAGAACAGGCAGGCAGACTGAAATATGCTGCTGAAGGGAGTAGCATGCGAGACAGGAGAGGTCTGCTGCACCAGGTCTGCTGCGCCATATGGTAGCTCCCTGGCTGGCAGGGGATTGAACTGGTGCTGCAGTGGCTGCGGATAGCTTCACAGTGCTGTACTTAACCTCTTGTGCCACCAGTGAGGCCCAATTTAAGCATATCTTTAGTTTCCTTTAATTACTTTGGAACGGTTGTATTTATTGTATTTAAAGTTGATGAAGGACTATGAAAATGTTGTGAAGATATTTTCTCTATTAATGTTTATAATATAGAAGTGTAGTTTTCTAAAAAAATTCTTTAAGAACTAGACATGATTTGCTAAAGACTTGTAGTTAACTTTAGAGATAAGAACAGACTGTTCTGATTAGGTAGGCAGTAAAACAAATGTTGGTTGAAAACATTGTTTCCCATATAAGTTGTAATATGATTTTTGGTCATTAGTGAACTTGAGAACCAAATTTGTGCTGAGTCTTATATTGGTTGTGTACTGGAAGAAATATAGAATAATGCCTACTGAATGAAAGTATGACTAATAGCTAATATTTATTGAGGCTTTTCTAAAATTCTCATCTGTATTTTTAAGGTGAGAAAAGTGTTTTTTATACATTAATATATAAAAAGCGAGAAAGTACATTTTATAGATGAGAAAACTTAGCATCTGAGAGGTGTAAATAGTATGTTAAGTCATCAGAGGAACTCAGTTGGGTCTGGATTCATTTCACAGTTTTGTGTGACCTTGGATAAATAAGTGATCGGAGGGGACATGTATAGTTATCATTCCTTATGAGTAGCAATCATATTCCTTAAACTGAGGAGAGCCTTTAGATAGTTGCTGTTCTACTTTACAGCAGTGACCAAAGAGATAATTAACACTACGAAAGGGGGGCATAGTGAGGGCTTGGTACCTTTTGTAAGAGGAAAAGAGTAATCTGGAGGTGACTATCCCATAAAGGGAAGGACTTAACCACAGCAGTCCAAACTATCTTTGAACTAAGAATGGAATTAAAAAGTAAAATCTTGATTTAATTGAACATATTGAAGTAGATAGATGTGAAATTTAAGACTTAGGAAATATTCATGGACATGGCAAGTATTTATTAAGGATTGGTTTACCTTAGGGTAGTCTTGTTAATTCTTGTTCATTCTTCTGGTATAATTTTTAATAATACTTCATTCTAAAAATCTCTTGGTTTGGGTGATAAATCATCCTAGTATATAGACTTACTTCTTAAGTTACTGTTATTCTTGTTACATAAGCTGGTTCTTATGTGACAGTTCTGCTGCTTCCAGACAAGCAAAAAGTTGGCATCTGTTATTTGTCATCAAGTATTTTTCATTACTTTTGGCACTGCCAAGTTTATGCAATTTAAGACGTTGATAAACTTAATAGCTTTGATTTTTTTTTTTCTTAAAAGCACATTTGCAGTAACTTTTTTGAAATTGTGCTTCACTTTGTTTTACGTCACAGATACTGCATTTTTTTTCCTATTTTTTAAATTTTATAAATATTTTGCATCATTCTTCCTTTTTGTGCAATGTATGTTTTCTCCTCTCAGGTGTAATCCCTGTAAAATTCCCACTACCAGTTCACCCCTGCACCATCACCATAGTCCCTTGTGCTCTTTTATTCCCTGTTTTGACCCCTCTCTCTCCCCTGCAGAATGTCTCTAATTTATAATTGCCTGTTAATTTTGTTTTTTTAATTTACTATAATTATTTTTTTCCGGATCCCTTATTTGTTCTCCTATATTCCTCCTATAAATAAAGCCATCTGATATTTTTCCTTTTCTTTTTGGCTTATTTCACTGAGCATAATCCCTTCCAGCTCCATCCATCATTTGCAGTAACTTCAGTAAAATCTGCATACAGAAAAAATTCTATTGAAGGAGTTAAAATTAGGTGATTATTAAATTATGTTCAGATTGTACAGGGGTGCTTAACTGTTTCTTTTTTGCCTTTAATACAGGATGATGATTGGGGCAATATCAAAATAAAAAATGTAAGTATTATCTCAACATTTATAATACAGTTTTGTAATTATTAAACCAAAATATATCCACGTCATTTTTTCCCTGTGTATATTCAGTTATTCCAGCACCATCTGTTGAAAATAGTTCATTTTTTGCATTGACTTGTTCTAGGATCTTTCTTCTTGAAAATCACCTGTTATATTTTTGTGTTCTTCTTTTATTAATATGTTTTTAAATTATTTTATTTTTATTTATTTAAAAAAAATTATTTATTTATTTGTACAAGCACTGGGTACAGTCAGAAGTGCGGGAGGGTGAAGAGAATTCTCCAGAGCCAGAGCGGGGAGCAGAACAGACAGACCCACAAAACACACTGCTGAGGGAAGCAGCGGGTGCAGCAGGAGAGGTCTGTGTGCCATGTGGGAGCCTTGCCTGCGGCCAGGGATCGAACAGATGCTGCAGAGGCTGCAGGCAGCTTCACAGCCCAGCGCTCAACCTGCTCTGCCACCGGGGAGGCCCCCCAAATTAATTTTCATTAACCATAGACACTTCCACATTGTTTTTATTAATAACACATCCCAGACAATGCTTCCCAGAAGCACTTATGTCAGTTCCCATTACATTTTGAGTACATAATTTCTACAGATGGTGCCTATGCCAATTTCTACAAAGGGGAAGACAAAGTCATACAACATGTTACAGAGGGCTTTCTTAATTTTTCTGTTTAGCCCATGTTGAATACCTTTTGTAAGTACAGTTATGCTCATATTTGCAAAGACACGGAGCTTTCTCTTTGCTTCCCTATGAGGACAGACCTTAGTCTGAGGCTAGATTCTTTTTATCACTGTCTGATTGAATGTGTTTTACATACATTGAAGTAGACTGCTGTTTGTTCACCTGAACCTCACAAAGGGGCTATTCCTCCATATAGAATCCCAGTAGCTTTAGGGTGTGAGTTAGTCTTGGGATTTTTCTTCGTGTATAAATGACAATGGTGGGGAGTCATTGAGCTACTTGGGAATAAGGGCTCTTTTATTTATTTATTTATTTATTTTTTTAATTTTTTTTTTTTTTATATAGAGGCATGTTTTCTTTCTTTCTTTCTTTCTTTGTTTTTGTTTATACATGCACTGGGTACAGTCAGAAGCTCAGGAGGGTGAGAGAATTCACCAGAGCCAGAGCGGAGAGCAGAGCAGGCAGAAGGACCGAAGTACACTGCTGAGGGGAGCAGCGGGCGGCAGGAGAGGTCTGCGCGCCATGTGGGACCCTCCTCCGGTGGCCAGGGAGCAGCCGGGGATCGAACCGGCGCCGCAGAGGCTGCGGGCAGCTTCGCAACCCAGCGCTCAACCGCTGCGCCACCGGGGAGGCCCAAGGACTCTTTTAATATGGGGGCACAGACTCTAGCAAGTCTTCACTCCCATAGAGAGACCCCTCATGTAGATGTTTCAGCATTGGTATTCTAGGCTGTTGGGAGGAGTGTCGTTCCATCTGAGTTCATGCTCCAAGTGTAACTCCAAGTGAACTGTTCATCAACCTTTTCATCCCGGTCAGTGTAATAGGGAACAAACTGAGATAAAGTCATTGGAGAGATGAGTGCCTCTTGTAGAGCAGAATGAGCAGCACCTTTAGCTGCACAGTCAGCTGCTCTGTTGATGTCTGCAATTTCAGATCATCCCTTTGGTAGACAGTGCATCATTGCTACAGCTGATGGCAGAGCTACTACTCTTAGCCAGACCAGCATCTCTAGTGGGTGCTGAATATATTTGTTGCTGACTATAAGAAGCCCCCTTTCCATATAGCACTATGTTTGTATAGAGCCATGAAGACATATTTCCAGTTCCTGTACCTTCTTACTCAGGACTTGAGTCAGAGCTATCAATTTGGCCTTCTGGGCCAAAGTCCCTACCAGGAGGGCTCTGATTTTAGTGGTGTCTTGAAGCATGACGACTGCATATCCTGTGTGTTGATGACCCAGTTCCATAAAACTCCAATTTTTAAACATCTCAATCTGAATCTGGCACAGCCTGGCCAGACAAATCTGGTTGGCTTCGACACAAAGTAATTTGTATACATTTGTAGGTTAAAATGCCATCCTCATGTGGTCTGCATTGATTGGGAGAAAGATAAATGGTTTTCAAGAGCTAATGACTTACAACTGTACATTAAGATTATTTAATAGAGCTGCTTGATAGAATAGAAGTGAAAGTCCACCTTTTTGTTTGGGCAATGTCAAAACTTGATGTGCATACACATTGATGGACTGAACTAAGGTAAGCTCTACTTACTGTATAAGGTCAAAATTTGCAGGTGTAGCCCCCAAACATGGAGGCCATTCCTAAGTAGTATGCTCCAGTTGTTTGGAGAGATATTTTGTGGGCTGCATTTTTGATCCTAATAATTGAATTAACACTCCCAGGCAAACTTTGTCCATTGTGAATAGAGTTGGAAAGGCTTCTTGTGGTCTGGCACCCCTTAAGGCTGGTGCTGAAGTCAGCCTTCCCTTTATTTTATCAAAGGCCTGTTGGCAATTAGGGGTCTAAAACAAACGTTCAGAGTCCAGGCCTTTGAGAACTTCATATAGAGTTTTGCAATTAGCAGGGTATAAGAAATAGGCATGGTTGAATGTATGTCCTGGAGAGTCTCATTAATGGCTCTCAAATCCTAAGCCAAGTGGTACCTATTTGGAAAAATTGTAGTGCTGTGTAAGGTGCAGCAGGGCCAGTTTTGACCAGATTGGAGAAATTTCTATGAGATTTATATTTTATATCTTTTTTAAAAAAGATTATTTATGCATACAAGAGCTGGGGTATAAGCCAGAGATGCAGGGGGTGGGGGTAGGGGGTGAGAGGATTCACCAGAGACAGTGGGGAACAGAACAGGCTGACTGATTGAAATACACTGCTGAGGGGAGCAGCGGGCGAGTCAGGAGATGTCTGCTGTGCCATGTGAGTTGCTCCTTGGCTGGCTGGGGATGGAATCCCTGCTGCAGTGACTGTGGACAGCTTTATAGGTTGGGTCTTAACCCATTGGGCCACCAGGGAGGCCCTTGTTCATTTTTTAAACAATGTTTGCTTCCCTCCTGCCCTCAGGTTTAGTCTCCATAGAATTTCCTCCACCAAATACCCATGCACCATCACCACAGTCCTATGTGCTCCTCTCTCCCTCCCTCTGATCCTCTCCCTTGTCCTCCCCTTCAGGATGTCTCTGGTTTATAATTGTCTGTTTTTGTTTTGTTGTGTTGTATTTTGTAATGTTATTATTTCCCCCACCCCCAATCTCTTACTTGGTTCCCCTATATCTCTCCTGTAAGTGAAACCATCTGATGTTTTTTTTGCTTCTGACTTATTTCACTGAGGGTAATTCCTTCTAGCTCCGTCCATGTTGCTGCATATAGCATGAGTTTATCTTTTTTGATTGCTGAATAGTATTCCATTGTGTATATATACCACATCTTGATCTAATCATCTGTTTTTGGGCATTTGGCTTGTTTCCAGGTTTACCTGTTATAAATAGTGCTGCAACAAACATAGGGGTACAGGTATTCTTTTCAATCACTGTTTTTGTGTCCTTAGGGTAGATATCTAGGAGAGGAATTGCCGGGTCATAAGGAAGCTCCATTTTTAGTAGACTGAGGAGCCTCCATACAGTTTTCCATAGTGGTTGGACCAGGTTTTTTTTTTTTTTTTTTAAATATTTTTAAAAGATTTTGTTTTTATGCATACAAGAGCTGGGGTACAGGCCAGAGGTGCCGGGGGTGAGAGGATTCACCAGAGACAGAGTGGGGAACAGAACAGGCAGACTGACTGAAATACACTGCTGAGGGGAGCAGTGGGCAAGACAGGAGAGGTCTGCTGCGCCATGTGGGTAGCTCCCTGACCAGCCAGGGATCAAATTTGTGCTGCAGAGGCTGCGTATAGCTTCACAGTGCTGTGCTTAAGCCCTTGTGCCACCAGGGAGGCCCCATGGTTGGACCAGTTTGCACTCCCACCAGCAATGTAGGAGAGTTCCTTTTTCACCACATCCTCGCCAACATTTGTTGTTGCTAGTTTTTTTTTTTGATATGTGCCATTCTTACTGGTGTAAGGTGGTATCATTGTGGTTTTGATTTGCATTTCCCTGATGATAAGGGATGTTGAACATTTTTTCATACGTGTGTTGGCATTTGCATTTCCTCTTTGGGGAAGTGTCTTTTAAGTTCTTCTGCCCATTTTTTTTTTTAAAGATTTACTTATTTATACAAGAACTGGGGTACAGGCCATATTCGCGGGACAGTGAGAGGATTTACCTGAGACAGAGCGGGGAAAAGAACAGGCAGACTGACGAAATACACTGCTGAGGGGAGCAGCAGGCGAGACAGGAGAGGTCTGCCGTGCCATGTGGAATCCTCGCCAGGATCAAACTGGTGCTGCAGAGGTTGTGGACAGCTTCACAATGCGGCACTTAACCGCCTGCACCACCAGGGGAGGCTTCTGCCCATTTCTTGACTGGATTGTTTACTTTGTTCTTGTTGAGTCCTGTAAGTTCTTTGAATATCTTTGTGATCTGTCCCTTATCAGTTGTATGGAGTGCAAGAGTTTTTTTTTCCCAATCAGTGGGGTGTGTCTTTGTTTTGGTTAATGTCTCTTTTGCTATACAGAAGCTTTTCAGCTTGATGTAATCCTAGGTGTTTATCTTTTTTTTAACTTTCTTTGCTTTGGGTGATGAGTCTTTAAAAATGTTACTGAGATGTATGTCTTGCAGTGTTTTACCTATATATTCTTCTATATATCTTATGGTTTCAGGTCTTATGTCCAGATCTTTTATCCATTTTAAGTTGATTTTTGTGCATGGTGAGAGGTAGTGTTTTAGTTTCATTCTTTTGCATGTGGTGGTCCAGTTTTCCCAGCACCATTTATTTTTTTATTTATTAATTTTTTAAGATTGTTTATGCATATAAGAACTGGGGTATAGGCCAGAGGTATGGGAGGTGAGAGGATCCACCAGATACAGAGCAGGGAACAGAACAGGCAAACTGACTGAAATAAACTGC